TAACTTTGTTAAATATTATAACTTATGTCGCCATATTTAATACGTTCTTTCATATTGAGAGACAATTATATTTATTTTCCTATAAGTTTAATATTCTTTCTGTCAATTTCCCAGCTTTAGCCAGGGTCTGCCTTACATGTTGTGAATAGTTTTGGCTTATTGTTTTTACGTCGCCGCTTCCTGACATCAACCCTCTTTGGGAATATTTTCCTATATATATGAACATATATCTGTATATTGCCGCTAATCTTCGTCTGTACCGATTTTAATGCAACTTTGACTGTTATAACGAGTTAGGTTTCATTTCGTCTAAGGTTAATAAACTTTAACGGTTAAACTGTAAGTATGTTTACTTCATGACGATAAGAGACGCGTTACTTCCCGTTTGAGAAGAGGACATAAAATGATAGTTATTAGTTGAATGACGCCTTAGTACGAGTGTCACTACATACGAATAGTTTGATCGTTAAACTGTTAACTATGAGTATTGAGTTTGTTTACTCGTTCTAAGGATACTGAATTAAAAATAATTAAAAATCATAATAATGAATTTTTTATGTTTTATCACTTATGCAATTTACATCTATCTACGAATGAAAGTCTCATCAAAATCGGTCCAGATAGAATAAGTCTGAATTTGGTATGCTTTATTTCTTTTATGATAACTATCTACTGGTAAAAATTTCATCAAAATCAGTACAGACTTAGATCTTAGCCCACTGCTGAGCAAAGGCCTCTTTCTCTCATGGAGAAGGTTTGAGCATTAATTTGGTGATTTCATAATTCATACTTATATTTGTGAAACTATAAATATACTTAGATATTTCTAACATAAAGGAAACAATTCTAAATTTATTTTCTTAGACAGGTGCGTCTTTCCTTGTCTCTAGTAATGAATTTATGATGTGCATTTAAAAGATAATTGTTAAATTATCAAGAATATCAGTTTTTTTTGGTTGAAACAAATAAATTAATAGTTTTTTTGTTAATTTCAAAGTTTGCGTATATTTTGAATCGAATTAAGTTCAAATAATAGGTATAAAGTAAATTAAAAGGAATATATGTATTTAAATTTTTGTGAGTTTTAGGTAATAATAGAAATATATATGAAAAATTATGCTTATATATATAAGAAAGTCATGTTAGTTACACTATTTATAACTCTAACAACTGTACGGGTTTGGATGAAGATTGGTGGAGAGATAGATTAGAACATAGAAAGGACATAGGATACTTTACATATTGAAAAATAATAAGTTGATCAAGTACAAAATCTTATCTACTGTCTTTAATGAACAGAGTTACGGTCTATACATTACTAATTATGAAACTTAGTAGAAGTCGCGCGCAAAAGCTAGTATGTAGATATATTTATCTATAGATTATAACTAACATGTGTTAAGTTCATTGCTCCAAGTTTATATAGGGGTGAATATTGAGGGTAAACGGAATTACAAGGGTTCATTACCCTTAGTACTAGTTCACTGTTGACGCTGCGTGTGTAGTGACGATGATACTAGGAGTAAGAATATTCTATACTACAGTTTATCTTCTATTTGTCAATTTCCCAGCTTTAGCCAGGGTCTGCCTTACATGTAATAGTTTTGGCTAATTGTTTTTACGACCGGCCTGACATCAACCCTCTTTGGGAATGCATTGATCAGTGATGTCTAAATACTCTTATAAAGTACATATGACTTTAAACATCACTTGTACTTGCCAGGATCGAACCTGTATCCTCATGCATGAGGCGGGCCTTAACCACTAGGCCACCACTGACTTCTATACTACAGTTATATCTAGTAGTTGTAAATGTCGTCTCGGTCTATGATTCAACCGTTGTAGGAAACGCGAAGTTTTTTACTTCATTAAAACAGTTTTTATACATTTTTTTTTATAAAATTACAATTAACTTTTTTATTACATTGAATAGTATTTTAGTACGAGGGACGATATTTCCTATGTATTATGTTAGAAATAATCCTACTAATATTATAATTGCAAAGGTTTGTGAGTGCGTGTGCATGTTTGTTACTTCTCTAACGGCTCAACCGATTTTGATAAAATTTTGTATACATGAATCTGACGTCCAGGAATAACACATAGGCTACTTTACACCCCGGAATTCCGCGGGTAACACCGCGGGGCGCAGCTAGTATATATATATTATGAGTTTAAATATATGTACTAGTTTTTGATCGTGATTATCTTCCTTTTATCTTCATTATTTAACTCAAAAACATATAAATATATATCTAACTGCAATATATCATACCTATATCCTTTTCCTATCTATAACTTACATCGCCACAAAGTTTCATCACAATCGGTCGAGTACTTTCATATTTAAGCCCTAACAAACATCCGTACCTCTCATATATAGGGTGTATCGTGTTGTAGACAAACATACATCTGTATTTATATCAGCGGCAGAGCGTAACGCGACGTTAACGTACTTGTCTCCACACATGTCACGTGGCAACGGAAACATTACTAACGATCGGCGAAGTCGGTTAAATATATATATAGAGAGAGAGATATGTAAGGCAGACCCTGGCTAAACCTGGAAAATTGCCAGGAAGAAGAGAGATATGTTCTGAGCTTGGTTTTTGTCCGCGTTAGTTTCATAATTAGTAATGTATAGCTGACCAAACTCTGTTCCTTAAAGACAGTAGATAAGATTTTGTATTTGATCAACTTATTTTATTTTTCAATCGCATGTAAAGTATCCTATGTCCTTTCTATGTTCTAATCTATCTCTCCACCAATCTTCATCCAAACCCGTACAGCCGTTAGAGTTATATATAGTGTAACTAACACGACTTTGTTTTATACACAAAGATACATATATTTTAGTAATGATAGTAAAATTTTCATTCATAATTGATATACGTAGTTTGAATGAGAGGCATACTTCGTGTGTATTGAAAATGCTAATTTTAATATTGTTATTGAAATCTTATGAGATTTTGCGCAGTATCTTGGTATGAAATCTATAGATTTTAGTATTTATTTATAACTAGTTGCGCCTCGCAATTATAATTTTAGTAGAATTATTAAGTGTTTTAAATTCTGTTTTACACCAATCTAAACTCAGGTATACTCAGTTCATTTCTCGAGTCTGTATATTGATAAGTCGTATTTGGATAAGTGGAAATTAGAAGTGAGAGTAATTGCTAGGACCCGTCATTTTAAGGTCCCAAAATCTTTATTAATGAGACCTCTATAAGAGAGTCATTTTTCCTTTATAGACCTCTGTAAAGACTGTTACTTATGTATACCTCTAAGTAAAAATCAAGCTATATTTATATTAAAAGAAACTATAGCTTAAGTCAGTGGTGTCCTAGTGGTTAAAAAGTCCGCCTCTCTTGCACGAGGGCGCGGGTTCGATCCTGGCAAGTACAAGTAATGTTCCGAGTCATATGTACTTTATAAGAGTATTTAGACATCACTGATTAATGCATTTCCAAAGAGGGTTGATGTCAGGCAGGCGGCCGGTCGTAAAAACTATTAGCCAAAACTATAAACATGTAAGGCAGACTCTGGCTTAAGCTTGGAAATTGCCAGGAAGAAGATATATGTATATATTCCTTTTAAATTGTACCGTCTAAAATCAAACGGCTGTACTGATTTTGATGTAACTCATTCACGAATGGACCACGTATTATAAAGAAAGTCGCGGTTAGAACTAGTATGTTCAAATAGTTACTCAGATTAGATCTCATCTAGTGGGAGCAGCTTGGAACCAGTTTGGCTTTTGGTTCAAGGTCATACAGGTTTTTGGGGGTGAATAACCTATTACATGGACATAAGGTAGGAAGGAGTATTTGAACGTGGATATCTTAAAAGATATATATGTATATCTTTTAAGAAGACAATTAAAGTAAAGATAGATTTAGAAGATCTTTTAAGTAAAATTATATGATTTTTTTTAAGCATGCATATGTATATGTGCATATATTTTATTTGCAGCTTATAATGATATGATAACAATTAAATAATGATAATATATTATACGAAACTTAATGAAAAAAAATATGTTTCAAACGACTCTACATTTATATTTATTTTCTTAAAAATTCGGTCATAATTTGTAATTTTTATATATTTTTTAATTCTGAAGTCTGAACGTATTTTATAAGTCAAACAAAATGGAGTAACAAGTCATATGTATTAACCAAGTTATAAATTAAACCAAGAAAAACAAAAATCATACATATAAAAACATTTCATTCATCTACAGGTTACTCAAAGTGACCTGAGTTACCTCTTATACTGAACCATAATAACAATAATTTCAACTTAAGATTCCTTACTATTAAATGATTTGTTAATTTTTTCTTCATCTATCAATAACAGGACATGAATATTTTAAACTTGAAAACTTAAAACGTGTACGAATTTATGACATCATTTCCCGCCAATGTGTTTTCTGTCTCTTTCTATCATCTAAGTTAGAAGAGGACGGCAATATAAACATAAGTCAGCCATTACCCGATAATATTGCCGACGCTTTGTAGATAAGTTTCGGTGACTTTTTTTACGTATTTCATTTAAAATATTCCGCCATTATATTTTATCTTTTAACTGCTAATGAACTATATTTTAATATAGAACATATGTACGTTCACTTTCAATGATGAAATTGAAACTTTCGCGCATAACTTTTTTTTATTATTTGCGTTATAAAAAGCGTAAGTCCACACCATTCAGCCGATCTAAGCAAGGAGGTTATCAAACCTGCACAACCCAAGGCTGTATGACGTCAGTGTCCAAAATATTATCCTTATTATAAATTATTTGTCCACATAACTACTGATATACGAGATATACATTTTCGTTCTTTTATTATGGAAATTATACTCGTATTTATATCTATAGAGTTTGAACCGTAACAATAAGGTGTATAATTAAATCTATAATATATGGACCTACCCGGAGCATTGGCAGTCGTCTTCACAATGTTCCCACATGGTTCACAACACAACACCATACATCACGTCCGTCCTATCCCGCGGTCGACGAGCCACTGTCGCTCCAGCGGTCTCCTAGCCGCAGTCCCCCCTCGCTCCCGCCCCCTCCCTCGCCCCTCCCCCTCAGAGTCCCGTTTCCTGTAACGAATTCTCCCGCCACCCCTAGCCGGTGTGGCCGCTATAAAATAATCTACCATTTTGGTAGTAATTTTATGGTTCATTTACAACGAAATATTTTTTTCAATTATTTCGTATATATATATGTATATGTATTCTCTTCAGTATGCTCAATATTGATATATTTTAATAAATATAATTTAAATAGCGTTACATATAAATTAAAAATTAAATCGTCGACCGTTAGTTAATTTAGTTTATACAATAAAATTATATAGAACCTATTTTATTTTTATTTTTTTTAAATAGTATTTTTTTATAAGTCTGTAAACATAAACCCAACCCGTCTGACCCTAAAGGACCTAACTAGATCGATAACAGACTCATCAAATTAAATTCAACTTTATTTAATACAAAATAAAGTCTAAAATCATACGCATCAATATAAGAAGGAATGCCATACAAAAATCATATGGGAAACGAATCCTGTTTCAACGCACACATACATACATACAAGCGAAAACCTTCCTTATATAATTCAAATTAAGAACGATTTCAGTGTGACGTCATCAACAATATAGTCACATACACGCACACATAGATGTAATTCAAGTTAAATCATATGGTCATTCATTAACAGTACATATGAAATTAGGCTTTATTTGTATGGAATAAAGTTGATATTTATTTATCAATATTAACAAGAACCATATGTCCAAGGATCCGAGTGAAGGACACCGCTGCATTTTTAAAGACATTTCAGAAACGATTCCATATTCAAATGTTTTGTTAGTTGATGTTTTTTTTTTTAATTTTGTTCGAAATTAAAAAGGCGTAGATTTCTGATGTACGGATTTAATCGATGTATGTATTAAAAAAAATCGATTTTAGTTTTTAATATTATGTACGACTTCGAAGGATATACATAAGTCTAGATCTGTTTAGAACAAACTTTTGCTCATGTACAGTCAACAAATTAAATTCAAAGTCAAACAAAGTATATACAAAAAACATAAAAACAATACTTCCATTCTTCCAAGTCGGTTAAGAATACATTAAAAGTGCATATAATTATGTACATTACTTCTACATATTTATAAAGAATATCCTTAACAATTACAATCATTTAAATGAAACTAATATATTTTTTTCACTACATACTATATATATAAAAGCAGGAAGTATTCTCTACTTCAAATTAACAAATTCTTTAATTGTTCAAACATTACTCTGTGACAAGTAAGCGGAAGTTACGTCACAGCTACAATGATTTTAACAACTGCCACTCGTCAGTCATGTCTGAATTCAAATCACTTGATGTGTGAGGTCCAGATAAGATATACATCTTGTATTTTATTACTAATAAATATATATCTTGATGCCCATGTATTGAATAGAGAGGAGCTTGGACAATCATGAGAACTAAGACTTTGGTGACTTTTATATATACATATATATTACTAGCTTTCCGCCCGCAGCTTTGCCCGCGTGGAGTTCGGTTATATCGCGTTACCAAGAGAACCTTTCAAAAGTCTGGGATAAAAACTATCCTATGTTCTTTCTCAAGGTCAACTCTATGTCTGTACCAAATTTCATTAAAATCACTTCAGTGGTTTAGGTGTAAAAGCGTAACAAACAGACAGACAGAGTTACTTTCGCATTTATAATATTAGTAGGGATGTATATATGACTAAAATTCTTTTTTATGTAATATAATACTAAATGACAGTAAATTATAATAATAGTAACTTCATTTAAATCAAACATTTTTAACTGTTCCTTGATAACTAAATCATTTTAAGGATTAAAATAACCGAAAAGATAACGAAGAAAGTTTAAATTAGAGTCAAATGAGTGTCTTTTATGTAAGTCAAATCAGCAACTATTATATTTGTCTAATTAAATACATATATATACTAATCTTTATATTTATTTATATATTATGTATTAAAAATCAAGTTTTTTATAATAATGTTATAAAAATAACGTTTTCTCTACAAGCCTAGCACCTATTTATGAAGTCTTATCTCTCAGTGCCTCAACACGAAGAATTCGGAAGATAGGAGTAAAAAACAGGAAATACAACATATATAAAAGATTATATATATATAAAAACATATTAAAAAATAATTGTTTAATGTATTACGTCAAAATGACAAAGATGATGAAAAAGTTTTCATTATAAATCCAATATAAAAAATTAATTATATATATTAAAAAAAACTTATTAAATATACATATAAATATTAAATATATATTTGTATATATATTAAAATATTTTTGTTAATTACAACATCAAAAAGCGCGCGAAACAAAACCGTCGGTTACAGTACCGTTGCGGGCGTTAACTTTTTTAAATCTGAAATTCCTGACTACAGCTCTCAAGCAAACTATTATTACATTCATTAAAAACTAAATAAACCTTATTACAATGTAATAAAGTACTAATTTGTATGAATTTTATTTTTCCCGCGTTGATTTAGCTTGTCAATATGCACGATCTTATTGCAATGCAATAAGGGTTACGTTTTAGTAAAATATTTCTGGAATACATCGATTTATTTAAAGTTTTTTGTATTAAATAACTAGATTATCATTATTGTACTTAGTTTTATACAATTTGAGCTTAAAATTAAACAATGAAATACACAAAGTCTTATCTGTTAGTCAAAAAGTCAAAACATTTAGTGAATGACAATTCAGATTGTAAGTAAATTCTTTTACGATGCTTTACCGGTTGTGTTATAAAAATTAAAATAGGAAATGCTTTGTTATTTAAACAGTAAGTATTATAAATAGTAACAAGTTTACTAATAACTGAGTTTAAATGAAAGCTGACCGCTTATATGGTTTAAGCATCCGGCCAACGCCAATCGCCATATTGGTTACAAACGTCAACAACTAAAATTACTTATTACTTTATTGGTAACAAAATATGGTTATTATATCAAAATATTACGATCTTTTTGGTGTCAATTTGCCAGCTTTAGCCAGGGTCTGCCTTCATGTGGTAATAGTTTTGGCTAATTGTTTTTAGGACCGGCCGCCTGACTGACATGAAACCTCGTTGGAAATAATCAAAATATGTATTTAACGATATTATAAAGAATATATATGTACTTTTATGTGAAGTAAAATGTGTAAAATAACATTTTATATAAGAAAGATTTGTTTAAATTAAGTTTTTTAATAAAGTTCATTGACCTCTACATATTTCGTGTTTTTTTCTAAGTAGAGTCTAGTTTTTTCATATAATTATAATACGTCTGTTTGTCAAGTATCACGGAACTATAATTATTTAATATTATACTCGCCACGGCCTAGACAACTCGTTTTTAATATAGATCCCAAACCCTACTAGTTCCTACTATTATAAATGCAAAAGTAACTCTGTCTGTCTGTCTGTTACGCTTTCACGCCTAAACCACTGAACTGATTTTAATGAAATTTGGTACAGACATAGAGTTGACCTTGAGAAAGAACATAGAATAGTTTTTATCCCAGACTTTTGAAAGGTTCTCTTGGAAACGAGATATAACAGAACTCCACGCGGACGAAGCTGCGGGCGGAAAGCTAGTATTTATACATATATGCAAAGATATTTAACCATGATAATATAAGCTTAAAGTTAATAAAAAAGACTATATACTGTTAAAATGTAATTTCAATAATTAAAAGTATTAAAATCGTTTGATTTGATATGGAAATTGTCTGAAAACAATTTCAAATTCAATATTTAAAAAGAACTATCCTACATTTTGAAAATATCAGTTTACGTAATGTCTATATACTATTTCAAGTAATGTTAATTAAAATTACAGTTTAAATAAACAAAAGTATAATAGTTTTATTAACTTTTCAATTCATATGTCAATAATTATTACCGCCATTTTTTTCAATCACAGCTGATTCTATTTCTAACCACGTTGTTGTCAATTCATTTACGCAACCTGTATTTAGTTTTTATTTCAAATAGCTTTTCTTTTTATAACGCATACCAACGTTAAAAGAGTACTTACATGCCGTTTATTAGTTTTTCGACCAAATAAGACCATGTGTGGAGCATTTATTTGTCTTCATCCCTACTAATATTATAAATGCGAAAGTAACTCTGTCTGTTTGTTACGCTTTCACGCCTAAACCACTGAATTGGTTTTAATGAAATTTGGTACAGAGATAGAGTTGACCTTGAGAAAGAACATAGGATAGTTTTTATCCCAGACTTTTTAAATGTTCTCTTGGAAACGCGATATAACCGAACTCCACGCGGGCGAAGCTGCGGGCGGAAAGCTAGTTTGATATATTTGCACAAATAAGCGGAAACGTTTAGACGTGTGCCTAGTGTGGATGTCATGTTTGCGATATTTGGACTATATACAAATATATGGACAAATTCGACGAATACGCAATGCCAAGTGAAGTACTACATTTAAAAGAGCATTTATTTCCAATCTTGATGTTTCAAGATGTCGTTCACTAGACGACATTTTGTTTCTTTTTGATTATATTTATAGAGAATAAAAATTATTATTAAATAACTTTAAAGTATTTTTTGTTTTAATAAATCAGTATTTACATAGTACTGGTTATACTGCAATATTTTTTTTATATAATATGATTGAAAATTATGAATATTCATAGATTTTTAGTTTATTAATAAATATATATGTAATATTTATAACTAATTCTTGTATATTTGTTGGTCGAGTCCTGTCAGTATTGTCATGTAAGAAATAAAACGTATATGGTGATACAGGTACACTTGATCGACCTGTACATATAGATGTTACTTTGTAATGTAGCTTCAAAACTTATATAATATATAAAATATATACATATAAGTACTATATAAATAGATTAAAAGGAAGTGAATAGAAAAAAAATGTACTCAAAATCTATTCAATTAACTTTAAAAAACTATTTAAATACTTACCAAGGGTAAATAGTACAAATACAGTAGAAAAATAATTTTTCATATTACATACTAATATGTATAATTCAAAGTTATATATTCTGCATGTGCATAAACGAAACGCTAACGATTAAAAAAAAATAACTTTCTTTTAAAATACTGTCATAA